ACTAGTTTTCTTTATTTCAAGATTCTTAAATTATCAAAGTTCATTGCCTGAAGGCAGCAACAGACCCTGAATCATTCCAGCCTAGAATATACAGTACTTTGAACCTAGATACTTCAATGATTGGTACCCTTTTAACATGTAAGAGACTCTTATTTTGCACAGGCTTAAAATAGGTCTAAAGGAAACTTAGAATTTTCTCTTTTTTTGGCTGCAAATACTTAAGTTTCTTTTTATGGATACTATATTAAGATAGATGTGCAAAATGGATAAAAGATGTCTTTATAGTGCAAGCACTCTATAAGATGGAGAAAAATGGCAGGAAAAATGCCTACTATATTATTGCCAGTATATACTTGCTAGGCCCAAGCCAACTAAGATTTGTGTGGAGTATTTCTAAAAAGTCTGTGGAATTTAAAATGTGACTGAAATATGCTGAAACTAGGTTTTTGGATTTTTTTAACAATGGTTGTGCTGATTCAGATTGTGTTTTCCAGCATTTCTGCGTTGATTTTTGCAAAGCAGTTGTGGGTGAGAGGCAAAGCTGATTTGTAAGAACACTGCAGACAACAGTGTGCCCTCAGAGGCTGGGTTTTATGATTGATTTTTTTTGTTCTCTTTTCACTGTCCTTGACTGGCTGCCTGTCTGGAAAGTGAACATGATAGAGGCAGATTTGAATGCTGCACTTGTGCAAATGATTAAAAATAATAAAATCAAGCCCCAGTGGTAAATGGGAAGGAAGGACAGGTGAAACAGTTCAGTGAGAAGAAGGCCTGTGTCACACCATGGGAAGAGAAAAAGGACATTGCTTCAGTAAGCTGTGGTGAAGCCCAGGGGAGCTACAGGTAGTTGAAGCTGCCCAGTGCAGGGAGAGGCAATGGCCTTGCTCCTTGGAATAAGTCCCCATCTTGGGGAAAATAGGACCAGAGAGAGTCATGGGAGGTTCATGGATGGATGTTAGACACTGTAGTGAGTGGTCAAGGGAGAAGATGAACAGGCAACACATAACCAACCACACATTTTGCTGACTCCATCTGACTTTTTACAGCACCCCAGAGGAATTTGAACCATAGGACCTCTCTTTCAGGCTGTTGGCTGTCATACTCACCTTGGACACAAATTAGAAACATCTTCCATGTATTTGCACCGAAGTTTTCCAGTGCACTCAGAAGTGTTACCATTTGGTTTGCAGTGTGATTTGACATTAAGTGTGTAACAGTCCAGAGATTCAAGAGTTTTTCTCTAAATTGTCACTGGATTTTGGGTCAGATTGGAACTGTTTATTATTCTAGATTGCTTCCATATTTCAAGTTTGAAAGCCAGGGTTTATTTTCATGTACAACATAAAATGTGGAGGGTTCTTCTTCAGTATTTACATGCAGGATGATGCTGTGGTATAGTCTTGTTTATTCTCTTGAGAGTGGGAAACTGCTATATTATGCTTGATTTCTGACTGAGGATAATACAATTTAACAACA